ATTAGATATTCGATAACAAATCCTTGAATACCTTTCAATGTTTGTTGAGTCTCAAAAAGAAAATAAAAGCATTATTCAAAATATCTATAACATATATACATTCGCAAATATACTTTCATTGTAGCAAAAACTTTTTCATAAATCAACGTATTTTGTTTTGCTACATCTTGAAAATAAGAATAAAATTCATCTGATACTCGATCAGTTACTTCAATGTTATTTGGATTGTCAAATTGAATACCCAACAGTATCCTAAAAGGTCACATAGCTTTTTATGAAAATCATGGTAATTTTAGATATGAAACGTACTCAAAGATCTTTCTACGCCAGCTAGAACAAAATTTTCCTACAAGAACTGGCTCTTCATTAAACCGACCATTTTCTTCTTCCAGATCATTTATTACAATACAAAATTCATTATCATGATTACCAAGTAATGAACGATCATTTATATTTGCACTACCACATATAGCCATACGATCATTAATGTTGAATGAACATATATTATTTAGGTTATCCTGAAGCAAAACAACGAATTTCTGAATTGTATCAATGATAAAATATTTAACTTACTAGACTGTCCATTAGAATATCATGATTACGCATACCAAAAAAATTAATAAAATCTTGTAGTGGAATTCCTAAATATCAAAAACAAACTTGCATGACATAGATATATGTATTTGAATTATAGATTCATTTTTATTGTAGTTGAAATCGATTCAAAGATATTTATTACGACTGAAAACTTGATTGTATTCGAAAAAAACTGTTTCATTATGCATTAGATTATGTTTTCTAGATTTTACTATATTTGGGTTTTCCTAACTATAAACAACAAGAAAATAAAATTGTATTTTAAATAAGTTAAATATATAGGAATATGCTGGACATAGTTTTAAATTAAAGCATATAAAGAAGACCGTAAATTGATGGGTTTCGTCATCAAATAACTGAGATTTAGTGGCGATGATATATTTAAAAAACAACTGATCTTTATTCTTAAAATATTAATTTGCCTGTATTTTCAAGTCTTTTACATAATGATTTATCATAATAAAATAGAGTACAGCTTGTACAGTATTCGTTTTATCAAAATCAGATAAAAGAGGAAGAACAATATAAATACGAAATTTTTCAGCATTTCTAATCAACAAAAGAAACTGTTTAAAATGTTATATAATTAAAAAAAATACTTCATACTTATGCGTTCGTTCTATACGTCGAAAAAGAACATCAGCTAACTGGTTTTGAACTACTGAATACTGAGCAATAGTAATAAATAACTGATTCTAAATACAAAATAATAATAAAAAATTGTTCTTGTTTTTATATTACTCTACTTCAATGTATATAAAATGTTTAGCAATATCAATCATTTGTATATAAGCATTCTGAATCGATGATTTCTCTGATTTCGTTCCTGCTGACCATAGTCCAACCAAGCGAACACACTAAATGCAAAATTCGAGTGAAGATAGTTTTTAAAATGAATATTAATCTAAAATAATCACTTATTTGAGCATTTACACGAAATGGCTCACTGTTAAGAAAATCCCTCCAATTTTCAACAGCTAAGTTTTCAACATCATCATAAGATTTAGGTAACAGAAATGGATAAAAATCATTTTTCAGATATGTTTCACACTTAAGAAAAAAGACTTCACAATTAAAATTTGAAAAGTATTTTCTCGCATTTTTGATAAATTCTATTTTCAGCGAATAAATTCATAACCGAACAATCCATTAGTTTCTTACGAAAGCAATTGATTACTGTCTGATTTGGTTATGAGGTCAAATAGTTGCCAAAAGATAACAAGAGTGTGAGTGGGTGTTTATGTCAGTTTTTGATGCTCATTTCATTTGTAACCTCGTCGACATTCCATCCTAAACCACCGTTAGTACACTCAAGAAAATTTAGAGATTATACTCAGATGTGTTTCTAGGTCGTCAAGTTTGGTCGAAGGATTAAATGAAATTTTCAAGTTGCTAAATGTGTTACTGTAAGTGTCACGGTATGAATTTGGATCGAGAACAATAGAACTTGAGTATGAATCAAACAAACTATAACAGTCTTCAGTATACCCATACCCATATCCGAAAAAATGTTACAACTTTTTGGCCATACTATGATATGTTCGGAAGGCATTGTTCTGCGACGAACTCGTCGGTCATCATGAAATCTTCATCTATTGGTATCTGTTTTGTGAAACACCATCTGAACATAGTTTTGAAGTACATAAGGTAGAAATTCGAACACGACCCTTTTTCTAACAGATCATTCGATACAAGATCACCGATTATACATCACAGTATATCGAAGAAAACAGTATGCAAATGATTGGTAACAATATTTACATTGTGTTTCACATTTTAATCCTGCAGAGATTGGTCTAACAGCTGTTCAATCAAGCTATAGATTTAACTAATTATATTTGATTCGATAGTCTTCGGTTATGAATACTCCATCGTTGAATAGAATGTCGTGCAACATCTCGAGCCGTTTGACCAAATACAACTAATGCTTCATCATGTCATGACATACGTGGTACTAATGTTCGTATAACACTATTTACAGCATAATTTACATTAGTAGAATTAACATAAATAAACAAAACACATAAAAAAAAATAAAGACCTTTTGTCAAATCTTTTTGATATACATTTGAATAATTTTTTCCAATAAAATATCGATGTTTTCTATCAGTTGCAGATGTTGAAGTAGTATCTGATTGTTGTTGTTTAAGAATTTTTTCATCGTTAGAGTTTTCATCATCTTTTCCCACTGTCTAAATAAAACAAAAACTTAGATTTTGTTTTAAATTACTTTTTAAAAAGTCTTTCTATAATATGCTGAACTGCTAACTTTCGACGAGTTCAAAAAATCGCATAGAATTGAAACAAAAAAATATTATTTACATTGAGCAAAATATACTTTTTTTTCTTCTTCTATTCATAACTTTTCTCGATCAGATAATTCGACAGTTTTGACTTTCCTCACGCTAGACGATAAATGAAAAACCCATTATTTGAAATAGAATAAAGTTCGATCCTTTATGGAATATGAAAAAGAAAGAAAAGCCAATTAGATATTTTGGATTAGAAGACACGCTTTATATAAATGAAAAGATAAGAAAACAAAACTAAACCTATATGAAAATTTTTTGTTATAGAAATTCGTTTTTGCCTCTATCAAATGTTTGCTATAAATCAGAAAAATCAAAATTAGAATAAATACAATAGAAAAGAGTACAAGGTCTGATGTTTACAGCTAGTATGTTTTTTTTTATTCGCTATCTTATTTTTTTGGAAAAATCTTTGATGATTCTTATCATTTTCTGGTAAGAGGATGTCAAACTTCTTTTTATTGTTATTTTACAAAAAAAGCACTTATTTAAATAGACAAATATTTTTCAGAAACTAGTTCCGAGATATTTCATTCATCTTTCTTCTTCTCCGTATAAAAAGACCTCTGACAGACAGTGTAACATTATCGGTTATTTCAAGTTATAAAATTTATGAAATGAAAATGCACAGTAAATTTTAAGTTGCCAAAAGATTTATTTTTTTCCTTTAATTTTTGGAACATTTGCAGAACACATCTTGGTATAGACATAAGAATTTTAACCACTATATCTCTAATATATCCTGCAAATTTCATACGATTTGAATGACAGTAATCAAATCCGATTTTGATGGAAGGAACAAGAGTACTGACTCCGAAAAAAAATATGGAAGGATTAATTACAAAGAGTATGAAATTCTCATTCTATTTGATCATTTAAAATTGTCTCTAATGACATAGAACTAGTTAAACGAAAATGGGCCAAACATGTTATTCAAACACTTTTTAACATAAGTTACTGATTTCATTATTTACTAGGCATTGTTCCATTTCATTAGAAGTATTACAGAAGCAACATTTAGCACGAAAAGAAATAACATTATTATGTGTAGTGATAACAAGAGCAGCAATACGATTATTTTAGTAAATATAGGTTTAATACTAGTGATATTAACTTGACAATAATATTAATGCAGCAACTTCTATGATTGTTGTTTTCGTTGATTAGTAGTTAGTGTATTAAACTTATTAAATTTAGATTACGAAGAAACAAAGTCGTTTGAGATATTATTTTACAATTAACAATAGAGCTTTGTTAAACATAATAACAAACGAATGAAATTCATTGAAAGTAATATTATCGAAAATGAATTCATCAATCTTTTGTATAATATTGTATATTCATCCTTATGCATACGAAACAGTCATGATATTTGGTATGATTTTCTTTTGACATGTAAATGTTAATCGCATCCCTTGATAATGAGATAAAAAGATTAGTAAACAATTTGGGAAAAAACAAAACGAAATTTCTTATACTCTTCATCTACTGATTTCAAATTATATGCTGTACTATTTACATCAGTTGAATCAGGAAACTTAATGTCTGCATGTATCCCATTTAGAGGATTGAATGATGTTCTCAGATTATTAAAACTCTAGAACACATTCAAAAATGTTGTACATACAGTCAAACCAAAAACTATTCAGACACCCTTTTATTTTTTTTTAATATTTATTGATTTGTGAAGCAAAAATAAGAGATAAATTTTTTCTTTTTCATCAGTAGATATTCGTCGATTTATATTATTTTCGATATCAAAATTATATCATGTGTATATCACTGGAATGATTACAACAAACTGCATCCATTTGCATGATTATCAATACAGAAAAATAATATTGACAATAAAATCTATTTCAGAAAAAGCAAAAATCTCTGAATATGATAGTAGAGATGAAAAATCATCAAAATTTTTCCAGCATTAATTTCTAAATATACTACTGGGGAGCTCATCAAAAGTTGTACGAAATTTAGCAAACCAAAATATTTTCAGTGCAAAAATTTAAAGTTTAGAGAAAAGTATTATACTAGAATATTGATGTTACATGCTGTTCTTGAAAGAATACTCAACTCTGTTCATGAGAACAATTGATATAAGAGAAATGTATTGTTTATGATGCAATAGAGAAAAAATTCTCTAGAAACTGGTATATTTATCAGTGAAATATCCATGTTGTGTCAAACTTTATTTCGTTGTCTTTGATCGTATCGGTTTAAAAGATAAAAAAAAAGGAAAATTTTCGTTTTCCTTTCTTTTTGTGCAACACGGGTTTTTCATTATTTTATTTGAATAATTAGACTATGAGCATAAAGAAAATCATTTCCACCATCATATACCAGTACTCTCACTCATACTTACATATGGATCCTAATTTTTCAAGCAAAAACAAAAATTATTTGTTTTTTCTTGCACCCTTTAAACCGATACCAGTAAGAAAATGTACAAGACTTAGTGCCACAAGAATATTTCACTGATAATTATAGGAGTTTCTAGGGAATTTTTTTTCGCCTCTCATATGCTATACAATACACCTTTCTTATATTAACTTTGTTATGAATGCAGTTGAGTATCCTCTCAAAGAATGCATGTAACATCAATATTCTAGTATAATACTTTTCTCTAAGCTTTAAGTTTTTGCACTGAAAATATTTTGAATTGCTAGATCGCTCCAGTGACATACGCATGATATCATTATGATGTCGCAAAGTTGAATGCTTTGCTATGAGAAACAAAAAGATCTCATCCTGCATACATCGAAAAATCGATATTTTTTTACGAAACAATGTCCCATACTTCAAGATGATAGACTAAAGTCGTAATTTTGATATCGAAAATAATATACATCAAGGAATATCTACTGATAAAAAAATAAAAATTTTATCTCTTATTTCTACTTCACAAATCAATAAACATAAAAAATAAAGTACAATGGTGTTCGGAAACTTATTGTTTTGATTGTAGATGATGATTGGTTGTTTCTTCTTATCTTATTATTGCTTCTCTTTGAAGTTTTCTTACCTTGATAGGGGCTTCACCAGCTTGTTCAACCATTTTGGTAGTAACCATTTGTACCGCTTCTATCGTTTCTGTGCCAGCTGACGGTTTGTTTTCTGCAGCTATATCAGATGGCAATTTCAATGTTGTGCCATATGCATTATTCACATCGACACGACTGGCAATAAAACGAAAACGAAAACTCGTAACTTAATACTTGGTTCAACAAAGCACAGGTTCCTTATTTATGTTAATTCATTTCGGATGACGTTACATTTA